GACCTCTGTGTGTTGAGGTACAGTAGTAATTATTCAGTGTCGGGATAAAATAATTTGGACAGAGGAGTGCTCCCACCCAGTGGCTTGCCATTGCTAAGTATTTCTTTAGCAGGCTCTGAAAACACAGATGAACCTGATCAGTTTTCTACTCAGTGTGGTGAATAGACATGGCCACAGATCTAAGCCTTGCACTCAGCTGGAGAACCTCCCACAGAAGGACAAATCTCCATGGAGCCTGGATGGATGAGCTGGGCTTGGCAGGAAGAGGAAATACAGATGGAGGGAAGGAGCTGCATTGGGACACACTTTACCTGGCATCGGGCAGATAGTTGTGGAAGTAACAGAGGCCAGTCTGTGGGTCAGCCTGCAATGTGGCATGTCCCATTTGGAGAATTCTGCAGATACACACAGTGATGACTTTTCCTTGGGCTTTTTTCTGAATGTGCAGGCAGCCTCTATCCCAGATTACCGGGGCCCTAATGGAGTGTGGACACTGCTTCAGAAAGGGAGAAATGTGAGGTGAGCCTTCCCCCATGGTTGAGCAAGGGCCTAATGGCCTGGCCTGCAGCTCCCTTATCTCCGCTTTTCCTTCTGCCCAACAGTGCTACCGACCTGAGTGAAGCAGAACCTACGCTCACCCACATGAGTATTGCTTGTTTACATGAACAAAAGCTGGTAAGAGCACACTGACTGGCATACACACCCAGGGCCAGGCCTGGGACCCAGAGCCGTAACCTTAGTACCCAAGTGGGCAGCTGCATCCCACCTCTGCCAATTGACCCTATGATGATGAACAGCCCCAGCAGGTCAGACTCCTATTTGATCCTGTGGAGTTTCCTCTTCCAGAAGAAAGGGTATCCCCTGCCCTGTACTGTTCTCTCCAGGGCCAGCTTAGAGTGTCTCCAGATTCTTTTGCATTGCTCCAGGCGCCTTGGAAGCCTCCTTAGCCACATGTTAGCTTGTCAGAAATGTCTTCAGACCCTCTGATGAGCACCTTCAACCTAGTGGAAAAGGGGGATATCTTTCTGTGACCTCAGGGACCTGAAATAGATGATCCAAGAGGGCATCTGTCTGGAGCAGAGTGGTCATACCTGCACCCAGAGCCTTAAGTCACTTCCCAGCCTCATAGGGACAACACAGATGCTTGCCTTCCCAGCTGCTCTGGGTGTGTCAGAGCTGGTAGCAGGAGAACACGGTTCCTCCCAGTGATGGGGCCCTACCAGGTCCTGGTGGTATGCATCTGCCCCATACTTTACCTTCCGAGGCTTTCTGTAGGGTCATAGTTGTACCTGGTCTTGGGAGCTCTTGGCCAGGCTGGGCTAAGAAGAGTTTCACCGTTGTAGGATGTTTCCTCCATTTCCATGCTGACTGCCACCATGTCCTGCCTTCCAGGTACAGCACGTGGTGTCTCAAAATTGTGACGGGCTCCATCTGCGAAGTGGGCTGCCACGCACCGCCATCTCAGAGCTCCACGGGAACATGTACATTGAAGTGAGCAGTCCTGCGGGGACACAGGGCCTGGGTGGCAGGCAGGTCCCACTCACTGTGCCCTTTTGTCCTCAGGTCTGCACCTCCTGCATCCCCAACAGGGAGTATGTGCGTGTATTTGATGTGACAGAACGCACTGCTCTCCACCGACACCAGACAGGCCGGACCTGCCACAAGTGTGGGGCTCAGCTCCGGGATACCATTGTGCACTTTGGAGAGAGGGGAACTTTGGGGCAGCCTCTGAACTGGGAGGCCGCAACAGAGGCTGCAAGCAAAGCAGACACGATCTTGTGTTTAGGGTCCAGCTTGAAGGTATGTGACAACAACGTAGTAAACCCAATTGGCAATGAGCCTACCTGCCTTATGTGCACTGGACTCTTTCTCCAGCCTGGCTCTTCACATGTGTGTGCTATTCTCAAAGGTTCTAAAGAAGTATCCCCRCCTCTGGTGCATGACCAAGCCCCCCAGCCGGCGGCCCAAGCTCTACATTGTGAACCTGCAGGTAACTTGGGTGCTCAGAGCTAATTTCTTTGATCTGAAAAGCCAGAAAGACATCTCACATCCATATCGCAGGAGGTGCAGTACAAGCCCGGGTGGTCACCTGGGGAGTGCTGACTGAGTGCTCACCCAGTGCTGACTGGCCCTGCGGAGTTCAAGGCTACAGGCTAGGAAGTAACAGGGACTTCTTGATTGGTTTTGTTTTGTTGTGTTTAGTACTGGGGATTGAATCCAGGGGCACTTTATCACTGAGCTACATCCCCACCCCTTTTTATTTTATATCTTGAGGCAAGGCCTCCGTAAATTGTTGAGGGTCTTGCTAAGGTTGCCCAGAGTGGCCTCAAATTTGTGATCCCTCTGCCTCCACCTCCCAAGTTGATGGGATTATAGGAGTGTGCCACTGCACCCTGCCTCACTTGCTTTTCCTGTCTTCAGTGGACCCCGAAGGATGACTGGGCTGCCTTGAAGCTTCATGGGAAATGTGATGATGTCATGCAGCTCCTCATGGACGAGCTGGGCCTAGAGATCCCCCTCTACAACAGGTGAGTGGGCAAGCTGGGTCAGCCCTGTCTCCTCCCCTCCTTGGTGGGCCGTGTCTGTCTGCTCCTGTGAGCTGAGCGTGGAGGAAGCTCTGAGGTGTTGTGAGCACTGTATGAGGTGGTCTGAAGCAGGTGTCCTCCACAGCGACTGGCCTTGGTTTGCCAAGGTGGCAAGACTTCACGTGTACACTTCTCTCTGGCTGGTGTGGTCCCAGTATCCCTTGCAGGGAGAGGGCATCAGCCAATTCGTTCTACTTGACCTTTCCTTGTTGACCTCTCAGACAAACCTGAATGGAAAGGGRCCTGGAGGGGATGAGGACTTGGCTACTCCAGTCAAACGGAATCTCATTGTCCTTGGTTTTGGGAGTTGGTATATTTGGGGGAAGCTTAACCTGTGCCTTAATGCGGAATTTGTGATAATTTAGATTTGGTGTATGTGTTGAGTAAAAAGTTTACACTTTCTTTCTCTGTGAATTTTCAGGGTCTTATAGGGGAAATCAGTAACTTCTTTTAATCAAAGGGTTCAAGAAATTAAGGATCCCTTCACCTCTGGGCCTGGCAATTCTTGTATGTTATGTTTGTGGTGTTCTGTGACGTGGGCCTATTGTGTCCTGTATTTTTTTTTTTTTTTTACATTAACTTAGCTCATTTTCTTTATCAGTGCTTATATGTACCTTACGTTTATAACATGTGGTTCTACATCTCAGTCAGACACATGATTTCTTCACGATGTAGTCTGTGGGCCGCTCCTCCCCAGTCAGCTGGCCATCCTTCTCATCCCCGTTGTGCAGTCTGGGAAGGGGAAGAGGGTCTGGTCCACCTGCCCCTGGCTGAACAAAAGAAAGGTGGGGCCCAGGTTGCTAGTGACCATCCCTGGAGACACAACCCCCCCCCCCCCAGGGCTACTGCCATCCTACCCTGTGTGAGCACAGCCCACTAATTGTGGATGAGACACTTGAGTTCGGAGGAGGCCAGCTGGGGTGGGTGCTGGCCTTTGAGTTGCCACCCAAGGAGATTTCCTCTCCTGCAGCTCTTCTGTAGCTTGGTGAGGATGCAGCTACCACCAACCAAAGCCCAGCCATGGTTAAAAGRCAAGGGATGGGGAGGGAAGGCAGGTGACCTCAGGCAGCTTCCCTGTGCTGGGGTGGGTTGCACTGAGAGGGTGCAGACCTGCCTGATGCAGCCTTCCTTTCTTGGTAGGTGGCAGGACCCAATCTTCTCCCTGGCGACTCCCCTTCGATCTGGTGAAGAAGGCAGCCACAGTCGGAAGTCGTTGTGCCGAAGCAGAGAGGAGGCCCCCCCTGGGGACCGGGGTGCCCCACTTACCTCAGGCCCCATCCTAGGGGGCTGGTTTGGCAGGGGCTGTGCCAAACGTGCAAAAAGGAAGAAAGCCACATAACCTGGTGTTGATGAAGATAATTGGCACTTTGCAGATGGCTGGAACTCTTGTTCAGGGGCCAGTGTCACAGTCAAGGCCAGGTTGCCCCCAAAGGGTCTGGTGGGAAGAACTGGGGGGTGACAGGTCACCTTGACGTTTTTTAGCCATTTGTCTGTCCTTGTGGGAAGCCCCCTTGCACTGCACAGTTGCCCCCATTATGGGCTTGACCATCCAGGACATCCCCTCTCTATACAAGAGGTGGCAGCAGGCCTTTCTGGGAGGACAGAGCCGGGTCCATCCCAGCCTGGTCGGCAGAGGAGCCCATGGCTGCCTTACCTCACGCACCAGGCTACTCTCAGGGCCTCCCCAGTTTCTACTCCTTACTAAAAAGCTGACTTTATAGAGATCTCTGTTGGGTATGCGGCAAAGGGGCGGTTCTGAGCCTTGGCTCGGAGCAGACCTTTCTTATTAAACATTTCTGCACTGTGTTCGTGTCCGGATGTCTGCTGTTACGCTCAGTACCGAGCGGCCGCGAGCCGGCTCCTGGGCGCAGAGGTTGCTTAAAAACTCCGCCACTGTTGTACTGAGGCRGTGGCGGAAGCACCCGTGCGCGGTACCAGCCAGTCCTTTCTGCCAGGTGTGCGGCGAGTCACGGAAGCCAATGTGGCCGGGGGCGGGGGTGGCGTCTGCCATTGGCTGCGCTGGTGGGCGGAGGGGCGGTCGGGCTCGGAGATGCTGATCATTGGCTGCTTGCTGGGGGCGGGGCCAGGAGGTGCTCTCCATTGGCCAAGTGCTGCTGGGTGTTGGGCGGGGCCTGAGGGCGGAGCCCGGTGTTGGCGGCTCCTGCCATTGGCCATGCGCCGCGGGTGAGGCCCGCGTGACGCCGCGCGCGGGGCGGGGCGGGGCGGCGACGCTCGGAGTCACCGGAGCTGCGGGACCGCACCGCCACTGCGGGGCCATGATCCGTAACGGGCACGGGGCGGCGGGCGGCGCGGAGCGGCCGAGCCCAGCGGGCAGGCGCGCGGTGCGGGTGTGGTGCGACGGCTGGTGAGCGGGGCGGGGACGGGCGGCCAGCAGTCTCCTCCCGGGTCCGCGCCGGCAGTTGCCCGGGGGCCGGCCCGCGCCTGCGGTCGCGCCCTTCGGTGTGCCACCAGCCCCGGTCGGGTCGCGGGGGCCTAGTCCAGGGTTTCCCTGATGTCCCCCTGGGCTCCTCAGAGACGCCTGCCGGCTTGGGCTTGGAGCCTTCCGGGGCTCTGTCGCTCCCGGCTGCGCGAGGCCAGCCGACGTCCGATCACTTCGAGGTTAGGCGCGAAATGTGCAGACGCTGATGCAGCCGGCAGTGTCCTTCCGGAAAACTGGAGATGCGCCCCTCGGGCGCACACTGGGGACTGCCAGGTCGTCCGAGGCGCTATGGAGCACACAGGCTCCCAGCCCGCGGTGGGTCAGGAATGCCATGGGCTTCTCTGGCAATTTAGAGGAGGTCATTGTTTTGAAGAAACTTTGGGGCTGTCAACAAGTAGAAGGAAAGTTGACCTTTCTGATAGCTTGCTGCCCTCAGTGATTTCACAGGCCTGCACCTGATGGAGTGGGAAAGGACCTTGGCTAGTCAGCCCATAGCTCCTGAGAAGGCTTAAAGGGAGCGGGCAGAACCTTGTCTCTTTTGCACCTGAGTCACCTTGGGAAGAGGGAACTCGGCTTCCTGTGGTACTCTGACCTTGGCCCTGGCCAGGGGCCCACCCCAATCAGGCCACAGGCCGCAGTAGCTAGGATTCAGTCACTCTTTCCTCCGTGTGTTCCCCCAATCCAGCCTCTGACCCCTCCTCCCATCCATCCTGTGCAGAGGGCACATGGCTGGATGAAGTTGACCCTGGGCCTGAATCCTGTAACCCCACCCAGTTTGTCTGCTGGGACCCCCTGCACTGTGGTGAGAGTGGTAAATGGCTATTCTGAGAGGGGAGGGGCGGGCTGCTCCAGGTCACCTGATCACACCTCACAGGGGATGGGGATCTCTGGAGGGAAGTAGAGCAACCCAGGGCCCAGCATTGGCCCACAGAGGATTTCCAGGGCTGTTCCCAAAGTGTGCAGGAGCACCTGGGGCCCAGCACATTGCAGGGGCTGAGGAGCCTTGAACTGGAGAATGCACTCATAGCTAGACTCRGATTTGAGGATAAGAGCTGGAGAACCCAGTGACACAGGCTGTTTTTCACTAAGCCAGGCAGTGGGGGAGGAACCAAAATTTTCAAAACCAGTGATTCCCAGGCTTCTTTGGTTGGAGTTTTGGTTTTGTGTTGACCCCAGGGACCTCAAGATAGAATAGGATCCAGACCCAACCCACAATGTTTGTTTTAAAGTTTAAAGTGACTCCCCACAGCAGGTTGTATTTAGTGAAAGAAGGAGACAAGTGCAGAGACCACCTGAGGCCTGAGCAGTGACCACAGCCACCAGTGGGAGAGTGTCCTGGGAGCTCCTCAGCCTTGCTCTCCTCCAGGCCTGTCCCTGGGTGCACCATCCTTGCTAGTCCTGACACTGATAGGGTCCTGACCTCTGGCCCAGGATCTTGGGGGGTGGACATCTTAGTGCCCACCTCCCTGCCGAAATTCAGCTTCTGGATAGATCCTGGGTAGCAGTTTCCCATGGTGTTTTCTCAAGAGAGCTGTCTAATGAATTCTGGAAGGATCAAAGCTGTGCCCCACAATGCCCCTTACCACCTACCTTCCTTGACATAGGGCCTGACTGCCCTGTCTGTCCCCACAGCTATGACATGGTGCATTATGGCCATTCCAACCAGCTGCGCCAGGCACGAGCCATGGGAGATTACCTGATTGTGGGCGTTCACACCGATGGTAAGGTGCAGGCTGCTGGCCCACACCACCCACAGTCTGACAGGGTCTCTGACTGAAGGAAACCCTGTGGGACCCTGGGTCAGGTAGGGCAGGTCCACACATCCTTCCCAGAGCTGGGCTGTGAGTGAGCTTGGCAAGCTCAACCCAGCTTTGCCTGACTGAGGAAGGCCCCGGCTGTAGAGAACAGGCTGGTTGCATTCATGACGGGCTCCTTGGCTATGCARCCCATCCCCTCCAGCCCTGTCCTGGCTCCTGAGCGCCTAGACTGAGGGGCTGTCCTGTTACCCAGCAGATGCTCTGATCCATTTTGCTGGCCAGAGCACAGCGGTGGTCTTGCCCCGTGGCCTGAGCACCCAGTGAGAGGCAGGCTCCCTACTACACCCCACGATAAGTACAGGACAGGGMGGCTCCTGAGGAAGGAGCCTGGGGGGCTGGAGGTCACCTCTCTCATCCTTGTCTTTTCTTGTGGTCATAGAGGAGATCGCCAAGCATAAAGGGCCCCCGGTGTTCACCCAGGAGGAGAGATACAAAATGGTGCAGGCCATCAAGTGGGTGGACGAGGTGGTGCCGGCGGCTCCCTATGTCACCACCCTGGAGACGCTGGACAAGTACAACTGCGACTTCTGTGTGCAYGGCAGTGAGTGGGAGGGCCTGGGGCTGCGCTCAGGTCCCGGGTGGTACCTGGCGATGGCGGGCCTCCTCCCTGTGGGCTCCAGGAAAGCTCTGCTCCCTCCCCAGAAATAAGTGCACAGATACTGGGACAGGCTGGGGACTGAGAGGGGAGCTGGGTGCTGGCTCTGGGCTGAGCCTCCTTGTCTTGGTGTGCATGTCACTCTCTAGATGACATCACACTGACTGTAGATGGCCGTGACACCTACGAGGAAGTGAAACAGGCTGGGAGGTACAGGTAAGTCCCCAGTGGCCTACCAGTCAGGGCACCAAGGGCAAGGGTTCCTTCCAGCTCATTCTTGGCCGCTTTGTGGCCTCCTCTGAGAAGAGTGTCTGGGCTTCTGGCCAAGACTGGGGACACAGGAGGGGGAGCGCTTGTTGTGGCCCTGACTTCATGGCAATTCCAGGGCTTCAGAGAAGTGTTACAGGCAGAGCTTAGCAGGGATGGCCAGGTTCTTGATCAGAGCTGTGAGCAGGGCCACCACCGCCTAGCACAGCTGGTGAGTGCCTTATGGGACTTGTGCCCTTTGGGAGCTGGCTTTTAATTACTTTTTTTTTTTTTTTAATTTATTTATTTTTTTTAGAGAGAGCGAGAGAGGAGAGAGAGAGAGAGAGAGAGAGAGAGATTTTTTCAGTATTTATTTTTTAGTTCTTGGCGGACACAACATCTTTGTTGGTATGTGGTGCTGAGGATCGAACCCGGGCCGCACGCATGCCAGGCGAGCGCGCTACCGCTTGAGCCACATCCCCAGCCCTGGCTTTTAATTACTTTAAAGACCTAGTTGTGGCCAGTGGCTCCTGCAAGAAATGGGGCAAGCTGGAATTCCCTTGGCAGAGAGGGCATGGTCAGGCAGGACCTGGGTGTGAGGGAGGCTGGGGCCTGATGCAGAACGGGGACCACCCTGAGTCTGCCCTGCCTGCTCCCAGCACCAGCACTGCAGGAGTGGGCCTTAGTGATCTTCTGCTCTGCTCCTGCTTCTCCGTAGCTGATCTCAGTACGGGGCTCTTCCCCATGCCCCAGTTCTGTGTTCTGTTGTGGTCAGTGCAGAGAGGTACACAGGCAGGGTTAAGGTCATGTCCCTCAGGTGGGGTCCACTGCAGGTGGAGCCTGATAAATTGGTCCAGGACAGAACCCCCCCATACTCCCTTTGGTCCCCCCAGAGAGTGCAAACGCACCCAGGGCGTTTCGACCACAGACCTCGTGGGCCGCATGCTGCTTGTGACCAAGGCCCATCATAGCAGCCAGGTGAGTGCAGGATGGGGCAGGGTCCCTGGTTCCCTGGGTTGGGGACAACCCCCTTCCCCCTCTTTCTCCTCCTCAACCTCTCCTCTGGTGGGGGAGCCACAAGCCATGCAGTCCTGGGGTTGGCAAGTCTGGAGGGCGAGACCCTCAGCGGCTGTCCCTCCTGCACAGGAGATGTCCTCCGAGTACAGGGAGTACGCAGACAGCTTTGGCAAGGTGAGTGAGCTCTGGCCACTCAGGCCACCTGGGAGTGCAGCCAGTGCTCGGCTGCCCCTCCTCCACCACCCACACTCCCCTGGGGCCTCTCTTTAGAGAAAGACCAGCTCTCCTCCCTCCCTGCCTGGAACTGACAGGTGGCCTCTAACCAAATGGCCTGCCCCTCTCTCCCTTTGTAGCCCCCTCACCCGACACCTGCCGGGGACATACTTTCCTCAGAAGGCTCCTCCCAGGTGACCAGATGGTGGCCTCAGGGTGCTGGGTTCCCAGAGGGCTGTGTCCACAGGCCACTAGGTTCTATACCTCATGGTGGTGAGTCCACCAAGTGGAGCTGGTGTTAGTCGCAGTACCTGCTGTGGCCATTAGGCAGAGCCACAGCCCTGCCAGTGGCAGTGGCCTTGCCTGGACTGGTGGTGGTGTCCCTGCTCCTGCCCTGTTCTAGGTACCTGCCTGGAAACAGACCCAGTGGGCCTCTGGGTTGTGGCCTGCTGCAGTGGGGGTGTGAAGTCCTGACCCATAGTGCCCACTGCGTCTGCTCCCCAGTCCCTACCATGACAGACAGGGGTATAGGCAGCCCTATACCCAGAAGAGTGGTCCCAGGAAGGAGMTGGACAAGGGACATGCCTGAGAGGCCTCTGCTGCTGACCAGCTTCCTCTTTTGGCTGACAGTGTCCTGGGGGGCGCAATCCCTGGACAGGGGTGTCCCAGTTTCTACAGACATCCCAGAAGATCATCCAGTTTGCTTCTGGGAAGGAGCCCCAGCCAGGGGAGACGGTTATCTATGTGGCTGGTGCCTTTGACCTGTTCCGTATCCTCCTCCGTATCTCTGTGGTGCCACGCCCACACCACGGAAGGGGAACCTGGGCCACAGGCCCCTCAAGGCCCTGGGACTGGGCTGGGGTGCGGGGAGAGCAGCCTGGCAGGGAGAAAGAGTGGTGAGGTGCTGAGCCAACTCCCTGGGAGGCTGGAGCTCTCTGCCCCCTTGCCTGTTGTTGCCTCTTGACCTGTATACAGATATTGGGCACGTGGACTTTCTCGAGAAGGTGTACAGGCTAGCTGACAGGCCCTACGTCATCGCCGGCCTGCACTTTGACCAGGTCTCTGCCCTGCCTCCTTGTTCCCCAGACCCAGACAATTAACGGGCCATGAGGCCCTGGTGGGGCTCCAGGGTGGACGTTGGGCACAAGTGGCCTGTGGATGAACGAGGCTTCAAGTGCCTTTTGAAAGCAAAAGAGACCTCCTGGGTGGGTGAGCTTGGGTCTCTTCTGGGGTCCAGAACCGTTCTGCCTGGCTCCTCTCCTAACTCCTGCCCATAAGGGATCACTGGGAGGGAGAATACCCGGTCCACATGAGGCCCTGAAGCTGAGCTGACCTTGCTCTGCCCTTAGGAGGTCAATCGCTACAAGGGGAAGAACTAYCCCATCATGAACCTGCACGAGCGGACCTTGAGTGTGCTGGCCTGCCGGGTGAGCACGGGCCAGGGGCCAGCCCGGAGGGGAACATCCCCTGGCCTCTCCCTCCAAAGGCTTCCCTGAGCCAGGGTGTGGGTGCCTGTCCATCCCACTTGGTAAGGTGGTCTGGCCTCCTTGGTGGTGTTTCTCCCCAACTAAGGAACCCAAGAGGCCCAGGAGGTAGGACGCCGTGGGCTCCCTGGCCAGCCAGCCCCAGCCCTGCCTGTCTCTGCTCGCTCACCTGCAACCTCAGCCCTGCATCTAGGGCCATCTCCTACCATTCTCCAATCCTGCCTGCCAGGATTGGGGACCTCTGCTACTACTCCTTGTCCCAAGCTACTCTGCTCCTTGTCCCCACAGTATGTGTCAGAAGTGGTGATTGGGGCCCCATATGCGGTCACAGCAGAGCTCCTGGGTCACTTCAAGGTGAGGCTTCTCATGGGGTAGGTACTTGGTGCTGCTGTGGCTCCCAGAGAGGCATCTGAGCTGACCCCTGCTCCCTTCCCAGGTGGACCTTGTATGTCATGGGAAGACAGAAATCGTGCCTGACAGGGACGGCTCTGATCCCTACCAGGTGGGTTTCACTGCTCCCTGATGCACCTGCCTCTGGGATGGCACAGAGATCCTTGCTGCCGTGTGGCTCCAGGGGACAGGGAGGCAGGTTGCTAATGAGCACCAGTGATTGCTCTCCTGGCCCTGTGCTAGTCTCCCTCTGGGGCAGGGCAGGGACAGCTAGTTTCTGTGGTCAGGAGGGAACTCATCTCTCTCTCCTTGAGGCTTCCAGGAACCCAAGAGGAGAGGCATCTTCTATCAGATTGACAGTGGCAGTGACCTCACTACGGACCTCATTGTGCAGAGGATCATTAAAAACAGGTATCCCCAGGGCCCCTTGGGGGTACCAAGCAGCTGCTAGCAGAGGGAAGATTCCCTGGCGCAGCTCACCATAGCCCGGCCCCCAGGTTAGAGTATGAGGCACGAAACCAGAAGAAAGAAGCCAAGGAGCTGGCCTTCCTCGAGGCCACAAGGCAGCAGGAGATACAGCCTGTGGGGGAGGGCGACTAGACTTCCCACTGGAGGACTGTCACGGAGAGCCCCTGTGCTGCCGGCGCCTGCCCCGCTCTGCTTCTGCGTCTTGGAGTTTGGCTCACGCAATTCTAAAGGAAGCTACAGCACCACCCACTAACTGGCCTGGCTCCAGCAGGGCTGGTGGGGAGGGCACTACTCCTGCCTGCCTGCAAGGTGCCTGTTTGTAGTGGGCTCTCAGCTCCTCCTGCTGAGAGAAGGCATCCGGCAGTGGAGCAGCCCAGCAGGCAGGATGGGCAGAGAGGACCAGTGATATGAAGGCTGTTGCTCCTGTGTGCTTCCATCCAGTGGTTTCTAACTGCTGCTCCTCCYCCATCTTGGAGAGAGATGACCCTCCTGCCTGGCTGGAGGCTGCACTTCCTGCTTATCCAGCTTTGTGGAAGGCACAGAGTGGATGGCTTGGGGAGCTGTGTTCCTGGGGTCACTCCCCATTGGGCACCCTGTGCCCTGCAGCTCTTCCCAGCACCCTGTGCCTGGCTCCAGGAAGGTGCACTTGTCCTGCTGCCCTCCCAACAGACTTCCTGGTCTTGATTTGTACATCTCTGGTGCAGCTGAATAAAGCCTGCTGGGAAGTGCTGTGTCTGCCCCCAGCTCACCCACCCACCACAGGGCTTCTGGAGTGGCAAGACCAGGAAGGCCGCAGAGCCTTGGGGCTGCCTACCAATGGGGCTGGGAGGCAATGATTTGGCATGTCTGTTGAATACAGATGCAGGAATTAGGGCTATAGGTGTGGCTCAGTGGTACAGCAAGGCCCTACCTAGGGTACATTAGTCCCTGGGCTCATTCCCAGTTCTGCAGAAAGAAGAATATGAAGGTGCTTTCCAGCCCAGTGCCCTCCCACTTTGAGCTGCTGAACCAGGTGGGAAGGGGCAGGTTCCTCTGAGGAAGATGGGCCTGCCCTTTCCTTTTAATCCAGCTGATTTTGAGGTCTGCTTTACAATCCCAACAGAAGCCTCACCCACTTTCCCTCTGTGCCCCCAGTCTCAGAAGTGGGGTGGTCCTCATTTTCAGACCCCTGAGCTGTGGGATTCCTGAGCAGAGAGGCCAGGCAGTGCCTGCAGGCTAGATCTGGTAGGGCCTGGCTGCCTGGCTGCTGGGCTGGGCAGAGAACAGGCCTGGCCTGGACAGGCCAGCACCTAGAGTATGCTGCTGCTTGCACCCTGGAGCAGAGGCTGGGGACTGATCTGCACCAGCAGCAAGTAGAGGCTGGGCCCAGCACCCCAAAGACACATCGTCCAGCCAGGGGAGACTCCCTGCTCACCTGCCACTCATGGAATCCCTGGGTGGAGGGCTGGCAGGTCCAGCTGGCAAGGGCACAATGGGGACACCCTGAGAGGCAGACCACAGAACTCTGGGCCTTCTGTCAGCCCTGCCAGGAGTGGAACAAGAGGGAAGCAGCCAAAGGTCCCAGCTCATGCTCTAGGGGAAGACCCAGAACCTTTGAGTGTGCGAAGGGTGAGGGGAGCCAGCTTGACCAGAGGAGAGGGGCACCTGGGGCACCCTAGCAGGAACCCTGGTTTTACTGGCTAGGCGGCCACTAGTCTGGGTGACTTCGGGGCCCGCCCTGCTCGAGGCCCACCCCTCCAGCAGTCCCCCTCTGAAGACTTGACTGAGCTTCTCCTTTATTCATTTGGCGGATTACTGCACGGGGGCCGGGGAGGGAGGATCAGGGGTGCCATCTCGCGAGGCAGGTCTGGGGGTCCCTGAGCTGGCAGTGGGCGTTGGGGGCACCCACCGGGCCAACGAGGTTGGTATTTTGGGCTGGGGGGGCTCAGGTGCGATGGCAGTCGGCGGCGCGCAGYGACAGGAAGACATCCGCCTTGCACTGGAAGGTCCCGCCTCCGCCGCCGTCAGGGAGCCGCTGGCAGCTCTGCAGGTTCGGGGTGACCTCCTTGACGCACACGGCCTGGGTGGGCGGTGGAGGCTGAGGGGGCCGCCCGCACCCACCGGCCCCCGCCGCCCTCCTGCGCGCACTCACGAGGCTCCGCAGGCTGGGCCGCAGCTCCGAGGAGGCGCCCGCGCGGCGCTGGAGGCCTGTCCCGACGGCGAGCTCCGAGCGCCGCGCAAACGGGGATCCACGGAAGCCGGACAGTAGTCCCGCGGCGCGGCCCACCGAGTAATGGCTGGGCCCGGCCGCCGGCTTGTACCACGCGAGGCCCTGTGGAGCCAGCAGCAAGAGCAGCGCCAGGGCCGCGGCCACCAGCGTCGCGTGCCGGGCCATGAGGACGCAGGCAGTGGGAGGGCTGGGGAGCGTCCAGGTGGAGCCTCAGAGCCTGGCCGCCTTATATCTACTGCGGTGACAGGGCGGGGGCGGGGCGGGAGGGGACCCGTCAGCGCCCCGCAGGCATAGGGCACGCAGGAGGTTCCGGTGAGGCCCACGCAGCATCATGCTGAGGCGCACAGACCCTCCCACTGACCCGTCCAGCCTGGACTGACAGCACTAAACCCCCAAATAGCCCAAGGAGCCACCCCCCACCCCGTCCCCAGCACTCCCGAGACTGTACCTGCACAGTACTCAAGGGACAGATTCTCCCTCCCTAAAGGGGAACTGAAAACTCTTGACCATAGGCATCAAAGTCCCTGGGTAAAGCATGGGGGCCACGGTCTGGTTCATGCCCATGGTGGAAGCTTCTGTTACTGGCTGGATCCTATAGGAAGAGGAGGGTACCAAGGCCAGGAACCAACTTTGGGAAGGCCAGACTAAGAGACTGCAGACCCCAGGCCGCTCCCTGCCCAGCTCTGACCCTGTATGGTGGTCCCTGAGATACTTCCACCTGGAGCCTTCCCTGCATTCCTTCAGCCAATACTGGGCWCACAGGAGACGGCCCAGAAATAAGACATACTGAACACCTCCTGCACGCCAGGGCCAAGGCCACAAACAGGGCTCAGTCCCTGCCTAGGACAGGTGGGAGTAAGGAAGGGGTCCTCCCAGGGAGGTAAGAGGATGCTTGGGAAGAGTCCGCAGAGACCAGTGGGGTGACCCTCCCACAGGAGTTTCTGTGGCTTCCTGGAACGGGAGGCTAAGGGGGGGAATGCTACAGGGTTTGATGAGGACTTTACAGAGGTCCTGACCTGGGAGGAGGCAGGCAGCAGAACAACGGGATCAAAGGGCAGGAACTGGAAGCCCCCATGTGCAGAGTGGGGTGACTACTAGGTTTGTGATCTCCAGAGAAACTCAACATTCTGGGAGGTCTGGTGAGCAGACCAGAGATGGGTGGAGCTGACCCACCCGGAGGAAAGGACCCAGATGGAACTCAGTGGGAACTCGAATGGCAGGGAAGCCAAGAGGGAGGCTTTGTGGCTCTAGAGGGTTCAGAGGTTAGCCTGAGGAGGCTGAGCCCTGGCAGACAGGTCCTGTATCATAAGAGGCTTCAGAGAGGAAGAGGGCAGAACTGATTYCCAGGTTAGGTTCCCAGGAGTGGGGCTCCACACTGGGCCCGGGTTCCGGGTGCCTAGTAGCAGAAGCTACTAAGAACAGCACAGGAAGGACGGCAGTGGAGACCAGAGGAGCCTACCGAGAGCTGTCCTTCCAGGACACCTGGAGACATCCCAACATGGAGAGCCTGCACTGGACCTGGTCTTCAGTTTGAACAGAGGACAAGGTTCTGTGAGAACAGAATGCCATAGCCATCTGCAGCCCACCTGACACTATCAGAACTTGCTTAGGGACATCTTCCTCCTGCCAAGGCCTGAGTGAGGGTTCTGGGGGTGACAGCCATTAAGAAGCCCACTGACAGGACATGGCTGCTGTGCCTCCCCTTGGCGCACACACACATTCCGGGCCTTGATTTGGCCATGCCCTGCCCCAGGCTCTTTCATGATTCTGCACTTTCCCCAGAACTGTGACTCAGGTCTGATGAGGACTTCAGCGGCGTTTCATCAAGATGTTTATTCATGAGAGTTYTCATATCAAAACACTGCAGCTTCATCAATGTGCCAAGACCCAGGCAACCAAAGCCTCCGGCAAGGCTCAGGTCCTTTAATGAGTTTTATTTATTGAATAAAAGCGTCAGCATTGTGATGGAAAACAACAAACAGGCTCCAGTCCTTGTTTCAACCCTGTCACAGCCCAAGGACTGTCTCCAGACCATGGCCATCGGGTCCCACTAGGAAAAGGGGGACTCAGAGGCCATCTTGGGGTGGGGGAGGGGGTCCAGGTGCAGCGTGGGTGCCTCACTCCTTGAACTTCCACTCCTGCCGGCACATGGGGCAGTGCTGCTGTACCTGCTGCGCGTTGAGCCACTTGAGGATGCAGTGCATGTGGAAGCAGTGTGAGCACTGGCCCCAAACCAGCGGGCAGTCATCGCCAGGCACCTTACCTGCAGGAGGGCCAAGATGGGACAGCATTAGAGAGGGCCCAGCATTCTCAGGCAGGCTACACAGAGCATGTGGCAAGCCAAAAGGGGTCCCAGGACATCAGGCTGTGGCTCCTACCCCAGGCCAGTACCTCTCCTATCTCATGTTTCAAAGACAAAAATCTGGTCAGGCTCGCTTGTAATTCCAGCAGCTTGGGAGGCTGAGGCAGGAGGATCACGAGTTCAAAGCCAGCCTCAGCRATTTAACAAGGCCCTAAGCAATTCAGTGAAACCCTGTCTCTTCAATAAATATCAAAAGGGGGGGTGCTGGGGAATGTGACTCAGTGGTCAAGCACCCCTGGGTTCACTCCCTGCTACCAAAACAAACAAACAGAAATCAGGGTTATGACCAGACTCATTCTCACATAGCCCACCCCTACCAAGGTCTGCCTTGAGATGAGGCCCCACATGGCTGGGCACCAAATCGGGAGGTCACGAGCCACTTGTAGGTTCAAACAGGAACTCCTTTATTGCCCGAACTCCACCGGCACTCCACGCACACTCCCTGGGAACTCTCTCCACCCTCAACAAGGCTCCACAAGAACTCAAAAGTAGCAGGAGCTGTCCTATTGCCGGACAGCAGGGGTCTATATACAACTGAATACACAGCCTGTTTCAATCCAGCATCATCCAGTCACAGCAATTATACACAGCTTAACTCATCCTCTCAACCTCTCATCATCCACTCAACCTCTCTCTCATCATCCTCTCAACCACTCCTTCTGGCAAAATGCCATGTGCCATCCCTACTCGCTGTGGCTCTCAACACCCACCCCTACCCCAAGTGAAATAGAGGGGAGCTTAGCCACCCCCTCAGAGGGGAGGGAGTCTGGCTGGACCACCAGGACCCTGTACCTTTAGAGCTTGGGTAAAGAGACAACGTCTGACCTCACAGGCCTTGGGGACCATCTGTGGACTCTTGACTCACTGTGATAACCAGAAAGTAACATTACTGGTCAGATGCCAAGGAGCTGATCTGAGCAGTGAGCTTTCTCTCTTTATCAAAGCAGGAGGGGTGGAGACCTAGAAGATCCTCTCCTTGGACTTCAGGGATTTGGTGACCTACAAGCATCCTGGGGACACTGGTATTTAAGGGCCAGCTTTCTTCCCACGTATAGCTTCAAAGGGCCCCATCTCCAAGGCCAGGTGAACAGGATGCAGACACCCAACCTGTGGGTCTGAAAATGCTTCCTGTGGAGAGGATAGTGCAGAGAGGGACACTTCATACTATCAAAGTTGTCCTGATCTCTCAGGACCTATGCAGAGCACAGCAATGCTCCCTAGTCCTGCCCCAGTCAGTCTAGCACCAAGGAGCTAAATCTCGCTGCCTCCAACCCACCCTCTGGTGCCAGCTCTATGTCACATCTGCTCCCAGTTTCCACACAGTGCCTGTCCATCATTAGCAGAACTCTCAATGAAATCACCCCTTTCAAATTAGGGTTAGAGCCTGTGAGACCACAGTTGTGGGCACYCAGCTGGCCCTGATAGGAGGGCTACTGTGGAGGAAGGTACTCCCTCCTTCCAGTCAGATACTGGTAGGCAGCCTGCTGGGCATCCAATGACTGGACGTACAGAGGTCTGGCTGGACCTCCTGCGGATGTCTCAGGAGGGCTTGCTAGTGTCCTGATGAGATATATTTTTTCTTTTTTTWAAAAATTAATCTCAACAAGACCGCTTTCACCCAGGCCCCTCTGGGTCGTGTAGCAGATTTATTATAGCCTTAGTCACTCTGGATTGCTCACAGTTGTTAAAGAAATGTGGCACTAGTTAACCTATCCAGAAAGTATATCAGACTGCCAAACATTTTGCATATTAAAATCAGATCCCGCTAACTCCAAGCATTGGACTGAATTTCCTATTCTCTACAGCCAACAGGCCATTTTAACAAAAACTCTGCACACTGCACAAGCATGAAATGCTGAATGTTCAACCACAAAGATCTTCTTTTCATGTCCCAAAGACACCCCTGGCATGCTGCAGGCCAGGCTCTGTAGGCTATGTGTGGGTCCATCCTAAGGGGTCTAGTAGGTCTGGGTACCCCACAGCCATCTTCAATCCACAGKACCAACTGCCCATGCCCTGCCTATGGGGGAGACCAGAAAAGGCAAAGTTACTGAAAATGTTTCTGAATTATTTCCCACGTTAGGTAAATGCTCTACCACTAAGCCACACCAAGGTCTTTTTGTTTTCTCTATCTTATTTTTTTGGCACCAGGATTGAACCCAGCAGTACCTAACCGCGAAGTCACATCCCCAGCCCCTTTTTATATCTTATTTAGAGATTTCTCCCTGAGGTGCTTAAGGTCTCGCTAAGTTGATGAGGCTGGTTTTGAACTTGAAATCCTCCTACCTCAGTCTCCCGTGATGCTGGGATTACAGGTGTGCATGTGCCACCATGCCTAGCTCCTTTTTGCAGGGTCTCAAGGAGTTGCCTAGGCTGGCCTTGAATTGGAGACCCTCCTGCTTCAGTCTTTGGAGTAGCTAGAAGGCAGCARTACATGCCTGTACCTGTCTCACAGATTTTTCTTGGTATCAGGAATTGAACCTAGGTGCTCAACCACCCAGCCTTTTGTTTTGAGAGGATCTCACTAAGTTGCTTAGGGCCTAAGTGGCTGAGATTGAACTTGCAATCTTCCTGCTTCAGCCTTCTGATTTGCTGGGATTATAAACATGCATTACCAAGCCTGGCTTTGGGAGTCATTTAAATACAATCAATCAGTGATTTCTTTCTTGCATGTGCCACCACACCCAGCCAATCAATGATTTATTTCTTAAGATACATTTCACGTATCTGATTAAGTCAGAATGCATTAACTCCTGGATGATGGGATTTCTTTTCAACCAGGGAAGATATAAAAATTTGAGTTAGGCTTGGTGGCACATGCCTATAATTCCAGTGACATGGGAGGCTGAAGTAGGAGAGTCACCAACTTTGAGGACAATCTTGGCAACTCAGTGAGACCCTGTCTCTAAATAAAATACAGAATAGGGCTGGGGATGTGGCTCAGTAGTCAAGTGCCCTTGAGTTAAATGGCTGGAAGAAAAAAAAAAGGACTAGGGATGTAGCTCGCTGATAATGCACCCCTGCATCCAATCCCTAATACCAAAAAACAAACACCCCTGCCCCCAACAACAAAAGGTCACACAGTTTACTTTTAAAGACTTAAGCATGAAGGCTGGGGATGTAGTTTAAAGGTGGAGTGCCTGCATAACAGGTCTAAGGCCTGGGTTCCAGTCCCAGTACCACCATGAAATTTTTTTTTCTTTTTTAAGGTATGACCAGCTCAGTAGTGCATACCTGTAATCACAGGGATTTGGGAGGCTGAGGAAGGAGAATCATAAGCTGGAGGCCTGCCTTAGCAACTTAGTGAGACCCTGTCTCAAAAAATAAAAAGGGCCGGGGCTGTAGCTCAGTGCTAAAGAGTCCCTGGGTTCAATCCCCAGTACTGAAAAAATAAAATACTTCCTTTTTCTGGGGGAAGTACTGGGGTTGGAACCCAGGGTCTCTCTCTCTCGCACATGCTAGACAAGTGCTCTACTACCAAGCAACATCTCCAGCCCAAAGGTGTCCTTCTTTGTTTCACTGTTTGAGAATTTTCAAACAAAATGTCTAAAACATATCTTTCTTGGTACTACACATGCTCTGCTGGTCTCCAATTCCTGGGCTCAAGCGATCCTCGTATCTCAGACTCAGTAAGGCCCACAGGTAGGAACCATACCGGCTTTTGACCGGATTTTTTTCGGGGTGGGGTGTGGGGGGATGGTGTTCCAGGGATCGAACTCAGGGGCACTCGACCACTCAGCCACATCACAGCCCTGTGTTCTATTTTATTTAGAGACAGGGTCTCACTGGGTTGCTTAGCGCCACACTTTTGCTGAGGCTGGCTTTGAAGTYGCGGTCCTCCTGCCTCGGCCTCCCAAGCCGCTGGCATTGCAGGCGTGGCCTCGGCGCCGGGTTGGCAGATCYCCGCAGGAACGGGATCCCAACCTGCCCGGCTCTTTTCTGGAAAGGAGACGAAAGCCAGGGGTTTCGAGGCCGGGATGGGTCAGTAAGAGGTGGGCGCGCAGGAGACACTTACAGTCTGGACAGCAGCCATTGAACGCCATCCTGCAGATCCCACAGTTCTCGTCGTTGGCCACCCAGAGCCAGGTGGCCACGCCGTT